CCATCCCCAACCGTCAACTTTTTTCTTCTCTAGTCCTCTTTCTTTTTCTTCAAATTCACCCACCACACTCATTCTCTTCTTTTTCTTCGAAATCACCTACAACTTGAACATACTATGTACTAGTTTATCCAATTATGTCAATGAGACATACTTTATTAGATTTTTTTCTGGAACGACGTATCAATATTATGTAGTCCTTAATGGGAGTTAGTTACTAAACACCTCATTTCTAAGTAACCATAACCACAAATTTTACAAACTTTTAGAAATCCAAAATACAGTTTTCAATAAGCATAATCATAAATTTACAAATACAGAAAGTACACTTCTCTTTGATTGATTCCAAGGATGAGCTAATGATAACTATCTTTAACCTTCCTCTTCTTTGATGATAACTTCATTATTTTCTCCTACAATTTTCTCAATAGGCAAATTATTGGTCTCTGGCAAAAAGAAGTAAACAAATGCAGTCATTATTACCACCCAAACTCCAAAAAAGAAGAAAGTGAAGAGAAAGTTCACTGATACTGAAATACTGATCTTATCTCCAATGGAAATATTTCACTTGGAATTAACCATCCTAATGGCCCCCATGACAAACCAAAACCAGCTACATAGGTGCATATCAATACCAAAATCACCAAGGCCCAACCTTTACTCAATCCACCATGATCCCCTAACTTTGCCCCCATTAATCCTCCTACTATCATTTGTGTAACAAACATTTGTATTCCTCCGAATATCAGCAGCTCTCTTCGGCCAACTTTATCGACAATCAGCATTGACAAACCTGTTGTGACAATTCCCACTACTATTGTTACAACAGAAGATAAAAGAGATGCACTTACACCTAGTCCAATCGTTCGGAACAGGATATGAGCATAGAATGCAATCACATTATATAATTCCTGTGACTTGCTGGAAGAATGGTATCACCACGGACATGACAAGTTGTTGCCTGTATTTTCTTTGTAATATGTTCTTGAAAGGGTGTTTGATAGTTTTTGAAATTTCACTAGCTAAGATAAGATCATCAAGTTCTGCTTGTACATCATCGGTACCTCTGACTCTTTGCAGCAATCTTTTAACCTTTTCGTGATCATTTGTGCGTTGAATCAAGCTGTTGGGAGGAACAACGCGCCTAATGTTAAAATGGATGCTGAGACTGCAGCCATAGCAAGAGACACTTTCCATCCCCAACCAACTTTGACCTTTTCAGTGCCATAATTTATAAGGTTTGCTATTAAAACTCCAATGCCTACACTTAGTTGAAAGCTATTATTGAATCCTCCTCTTTACTTGGATGGTGACATTTCTGACAGATACAATGGTACAGCCTGCAAAGTTGTGACAACAAACTTAGGTTTTAGCTAGAATAGATAGTTGATTGAGCTGGTTTACTTTCAAAATGGAACAAGAATGGTAAATTTGTCAAAGGGGAAGTCTTCGAGTTTTCATTTAGAGAACTTCTAGTTTTATTTACTAAAGTGAAGATATAGGATGTTTGTCTACTAGTTGAGAAGTATTGCTTCCACTTCATTTTAAATGTTCGTGTTTGATTAGATACAAAGTTTAAAACGAAAGACTTTGGCACATATCAAAAGTACCTTCAGAACTTGTCATCTTAAACATGTTGCATTTCTACGAGACTATGACTATTAGAGCATCTCAAAAGTGGAAGTATTTCTAGTTAGGGAAAAGTATAATTCTTTTTAGAATGTACTAAATGGAATGGATGGAGTAATAGTTTACCTGATTTGCATTTTGCGATTTTTTCTTTACAAGAGTGAAAATATAGGACGTGCGTCTACTAGTTGAGAAGTATTGCTTTCATTTCACTTTAAGTGATAGTGTTAGACTAGATACAAAGTTTAAAAATGAAAGACTTTATGCACATATCAAACATACCGTTAGAACTGTGATTCCATAACTATTCCAAAAATGGAAAGTTCAACACAATTGTTATTTTTTGTTTGGAAATTAGAAGCAGTTATTAATTCATGATCGGGCATGTATAAGATGAAAAACTTCATTTTCAATTCTATGAGAATTTTAATGAAAGCAGTTTCATTTCTCATCCTGTGAAGTTTTTTTATTCACGACTTATAATTAATGATTTTGCTTTTTTTTTCTTGGGGTTTTATTCAATTCTTTTTTGGAATTTTATTTGTTCTATGTTACAATTTAAAAATTATGTCCAAGAAATTAAAAATTACAAGATCTTTATATATATACTCAATCTATACACTATATATTTGGATCAGCAATATTTAAACTTTTACTACCGTCTACAAACCGTTTAAATTACGATTTTATTAGTCTAGTTTTTTTCAATTATATATATGTTTGGGTTCTAATGTATGAACTAGATATTACTTTTGTACTTCACTCTGTTTGTCAATTGTATCCTCTTTCATCACTTTGTCAATTGAATCCTTAAACCTATTAGAACACAATATTTTAAACTCATTTGACCATTAACCGAATTTATGTGATATTTATGTTGTTGAGTTGTAAACGGACGTGATTGCAACTCATTAATTAGAAGCGAGAAAATATAGGACGTGCGTTTTGCGAACAACTCTTTTTCTTTACAAGAGTGAAAATATAGGATGTGCGTCTACTAGTTGAGAAGTACTGCTTTCATTTCACTTTAAGTGATAGTGTTAGACTAGATACAGAGTTGAAAAATGAAAGACTAGAATTTGTGGTTCAGCATGTCATGACATTTCTATGATTATGAGAGCATCTCATTTAGAGTAAAAACACGGAGTATAAAACATTTCCAAACAAGGAAATGAGTATTTTTTTACCTGATTTGCAAAACCAACACCAACACCTAGTAAAACTCTACCAATTATAAGCATATAGCTATTAGAAGCAGCTCCACCAAGGGCTGCACCAGCAAGGAAGTTAGCTCCTCCAAGAAGGATTGATGCCTTGCGACCATACGCTCTAGTGAATGATGAGGCAACAAAAGTAGCAAAAAGACCAGCCACATAAAGAGATGATGTGAATGATGTCAACAATTCACTATCAACTTTGCAGTAATTACTAAGTTCTTTGTCTTCTTTCATCTTAATGTACACATCATGAAAAAACATTTTCAGAAAAGGCTCCATAGATGTTACTCCACCTTCACATCATTCAAAGCTTGTGTTAGTGAAATAGAATAGATCAATTGATTCACAGTAGAGATAAGTATTGAAAACACCTCTAAACTTGACGTGAATTATTACTTTAGTCTCCCAGTAATAATTCATGCAAAGGAAACATAATTTCCTGTTCTTTTGTGTTCCTTTGTTTTCCCTTGGACAATTGAAACCTTTACTAGATGTGTCATAGATTGTATATAACAACTTATGGAAATGCAGAAAAATCAAACCTGAAATTCCAATATCATATCCAAAGATTACACCTCCCATACAAGCTAATATTACAAAACATGTCAGTTTTCCATGGTACTCTTCTCCATCATTTGCTACTACTGCTAATCCCCCTGCCATAGTTTTTTATTTTCTTTTTTCAAGTGAACATGAAAACTTACAAGAACTAAAGGGAGTTAAGGGGGCAGGGGACAGTACTCATGTAAAATTTATTTTACTTGTGATTTACAATAATAGTAAAAATATTTATGATTCACATTAATAGTAAAATATCCATAACAATGTAAACATAGGACAAAAGAGGAAAAAGGTTGAAGAGTTTTAGCAGTACAAGTTGACTTGACTGCTAGAGATCAGCATCAAATATGTGTGTTGATTATTCAAGAATTGTCCTTGTGCCTAATCAAATGATTGATCCAAAGTAAATAAAATAATTTGTTGTGTGAACTAATAAACAAAAGATATTCTCATTGTGTAATCTCTATGATAGACTATGTTCTTGGAGATTATTAATTATATTTCCAGCATTATTGGTGCAATTAGAGTGTGTTTGGTAGGGACATTTTCAAGAAATATTTTTCAACCGCAAAATGACTTCTCTAATAAAAATAGAAAACAAATTGCATAAGTGACATTTCAAGTTTATTGTCTCTTCTCAACCCCTCCAACCCTCAGTCCTTGACCATCCCATCCCCCCGCCATCACCGAATCCCACTCTTCATATCTACCCATCTTTATAACGTTTTGCTTGATGACATATAAATATTCTTTTAATAATATTTTCTTATTTACTTAGAGAACATTAGAAATTGGGTAAAAAAAAACTACTAATTTTTCAATAGAACATTTTCTGAAAAATTATTGTTCGTGGAAAATAGTTTTCTTCATGCCAAACACACCGTTGATATTTGGTATAGTCAGGCATGCTGATTAGAAGGCAACGAATAGTGATGACTGATGGCTTTGCTTTCCAAAAATGATCTAGTATTCTGCTATAGCATAAGACTTCTTTTATATATATAATTAACAACAAATAAGCGCCAAACAATTGATTTCCTTTTCTGGAGCTATTAAGATATTTCATGTTACAAAAATACTCTTCAGCTTATTTGATTTAGTAAAAAAAAAGTTTGAGGAGCCTTAGGGTTTTTTCGTCATTTTCATTGTTTTATCTCCGAATAACTAATCATAGTAGCATTATTTCACCCTCAAACAGTGACAAAAATAACTTACTAGTAACTTATTTTAAGATAACCAAACAAAAATAAGACGGGTATTAATTTTTTTTATCTCAAGACAATTTATATTTGTCCAACATACCAGTATTAATTATGACTCATAATCATAGTGATAATCGCCTATTTAATCTGCCTTTGTCATAATCATTGTGATAATCGCCTATTTAATCTGCCCTTGTCATACTCATTGTGATAATCGCCTATTTAATCAAGAACTTTTAAAAAAACAGAAACAAATCAATGGAACAATAGAAAATACTGATATTATTGCATGCTTTGCTAATACAAAGTTTCCAAGTACATAGAATCATAAAATTGAAAATTATGTAATCCGAGTAACCAATTAAGATGTTGGTGTCTATGCTACATATACTCATTAATTCTTCATTGGTGTTAAATTAACGTGGTAAACTTCAGTCATATTAGGGTAAAATAAACCAAAATTTTGTTCAGTACCAACAGGCTTTTGATTCTCATTAAAGAGAGCAAAAATATACGTCTCCACAACTTTTCCAGGCTTCCTAGGAGTCCCTTTCCCAGATGCAACATGTGCAATCAAATTGTTAACATAGGTTTGAGCATTGTCAATAGTTGCATAAACATCGCCACCACTCGGCCATCCTGTTTCCGAAACCACAACATCTAAACCAGGTTGTCCAACTTTCTCCAACGCAGCATACAGAGCATCCACCATTGCATCAAACAAGTTGTTGTATCGTAAATCTCCGTCAACAACAATCACACCCGTATTTTTAATAAGTGCATAGTCTAACTGAATTTGATCAGGATTTGAAGCATACGCAAAATAAGGATACACATCAGCCAGCAACGGATATTGCTTTGTAGCTAAAAATTGCGCAATTGGTTGCAAAATTGAATAGAATCCTCGGAGAATGAGCCATTCGATGGGGGATACGAGGTCCCTAAAACCTGTAGTGACACTGTTGTCGTTACAGGTATATTAATGTTGTGCGCTTTGAGCGCCATGTCCAAATTTTGCATGGCTCCTAGTACAAAAGTCGCTAACTGTCCGGGTATTACTTCATTACCAGCGGAGATATATGCAAAATTTACGAATGAAACATGTGGAACAACGTTAGTGTTAACCCAATTCGTGGCAAAAGTTAAATCACTTGCAAGTTGTTGCAGATCTTCATTCCGAACACCAAGAATTAACGAAATGCACGAACCTTCTAGTGCTTTTAACACGTCCGGGTTCGGATCGAAAATTCGGGTCTTTTGAAAGTATCTGGATTTCAATAGATTGATCACCTGAGCTGGTGGTGGCAGATTGTTTCCCAGAAGTCCATAATTCACACCAATTCCATCAACACCTTTTTTGCAAAAAATAAAAAACAGGATTAGTATGATTATACCGGCTATTTTTAGTTTAATCAGTGAAAACTTACCGGAGCTTAAAGTTACACAAGCAAAGACAAATAACAAGACGCAAAGACGCTGCATAATTGATATAATATAAATATATAAAGAGATCTCTAGTTTTGATTGACAAACTATGAGAAATGGTCATATTTATATGTGTGATGAATTAATCTGTGTACTAAAGAAGATAGTAAATATTTTTAATTATATGTGTGAATCCTTGTACTAAATTATATATTTTACAATTAAAGCTGGATCTTTATTTAATTATCTTGCCTTCTTTTATTTTGGCATGACATGGTGGATTTTCATTTTACTCCCTTCCTTCAGATTTACTTGTCAAATTTTGACTTGATACATCTATTAAGAAAATAATATAATTGATATAGTGAATTTATTATTTATCCCTATTGATTGATAGGCTCACAAACATATTTACTTACTATATTTTTCAAAAACATTGACTGAAATACAGCTCGCTAAAATTATAATTCAAGACGTTCATAGTAGAGGCAATCTGCTCACAAAAGTCGCAGAGCAGCTGCGACAAATTATGAATTTCTATCCGAGCTGAATCATTCTAATAATTTAGAACTAGGTGTTGAGATGAACGATCAATGTAGCCTATTTCCTTCGTTTCACAGCGAGTAAGTTGTGCTAACATGAAGTCGAGCATCTTTAACTTCTTGGGTTGTCTGCTTTACTTATACAATATTCTTTTCTAGTTATACAAAGTTATAGTTACCAAACAAAAATATGAAGAAAAAAAATTCCTTTTTAAGTTTAATAAAAATGACACATAAAAGTAAGAATTTAATTAAAAAAATATTTACCAAATAAATTCGAACAGAGGGAGTATTTATATATTTTTGCCTCTTTCGCATGAGATGGTGGATCTTTATTTATTTTTGTTGCCTTATTTGGCATGAGTATTAGTTATAATAATTAAGTACATGCCAATAAATAAGGACTGACTACCTATTTTAATATAATTACTTAATTATGGAAAAATTATTTAAATACACAACTTATTTTTCCTATATTCTCTAAAAAAATTATCATTTGAAAAAATACAAAAAATTCCTACTTTACGCGATGTATTGGTCGGATAAATTACTTTACGTGATGTATCGATCTGATACATCACTTTACGATGTATCAGGACGTTACATTGCGTGATGTATCAGTCGGATACATTACTTTATGTGATGTATCGGGACGTTACTTTACGTGGTGTATTAGTTGGATACATCACTTTATGCGATGCATCGGAACGTACGCGATGTATAGGGATGTTGAGTGATGTATACGAAATAGAGACTCGATGTATCAGGACATTGAGGGATGTATCTAAAATCGGACGCGATGTATCAAGACATTTTGAATGTATACGGATTCCACCAAATTTTAAAAATAATATAATTAACTCTTAATGCTATGAAATTCGTGTAAAATCTACATTGATTATTCCAAACCCATTTATGAGTTATGACCAGTGGGATCTCCAAAGTTGATCCTGGTAATTGACCAGAAGTACAAATAGAATTATTTTATTTACTCTATTCATTTTTACTCGTTCATATTTGATTTACACGTGATTAAAAATTAATAAAGAAAATAGCAGTACTTTTTTTATATCAATCATATTAATTACAAGTCATGTTAATGTTGTGAAGTGATGATACTTAATAAAATGATAAAATAGATATAAAATGGTAAAAAGTATAATGTGTGATTTGATACATATTAGAGACTTGTTAGGGACAAATTACCCTTTTTTCTAATAAGTTTTTCAAATCTCCATAGTATAATGAGAACCCCACGAAAAAAATATTTATTTTGAGGAAAAAAAATTAAAGACCAACACAACATATAGCTAAAAGTTCAAATCTAAACGGTTGGCCCAGCCCAATTCAACCCTTCATCTAAAAAGGCTTCCAAAACGTTAACCCAATAAGCCTTAAGCGGGTCGAAGCTGCCCCATGGGCTAACATTACAATTTTTTAGAAAGAAAATCCATGAGATAGTTATTGAGAAAATTTCAGAAATAATAAAGATTATAATGACATAATAAGGATCTATAGCTATAATTTTGGTAATTGCGCTCTATAGCTATAGTTCCGTTTGATATGGAGGTTGCGGTTTGTATATTTCACTTACCCGTTTGTATATATCGCTTGCGAATATACAAACAAGGTGAATATATACAAATAGAGGCTACAATTTGTATATTTTGTTTGCAAATACACAAACATGGTTATTAACTAATTATATACAAATTCTGCATTTATCCATTTAGGGATTTTTCATAACTTCATTTGTATTCACTTGCCAAAATACAAACAGGGTAATTTATTATGTTTTTTTCATAAATCGTATACAAATAGCTAGGATAAACATATAGAAATTATAAATTTATACAATCAAGAATCAAATTATACAAATTCTGAATTTAAATTTTTGTGAAATTGTAGCCACAGATTAAAAATAATCAAAATTCTAACTATATTACATAATATACTCTAATTTTCCAATAGTTAGATTTGGGAGGAAGAAAAACTTTTTAATGTTAAACGAAAATAAGTTTATTTTTTTCAAATATGTTAGATTTTATATGCGTAGTTAATTTTCTTTGAAGAGTTAAAGTTGTCACACTTTCTCCAAAAAAACTTTACTTATACTGCAAAGTGCAAATATTGAAAACTTTGATAAAGCATCAACTTTAGTATTTTTGGTGTATACACACATACTAAATTTACTAAATGAACTTGATATCCCATGATTCTAGCAACCCAAACATTTATGTTGAAATTTTTTTATGAGGCCTTCATAATGAGTTGGAAGCATTACGTACGGTCCCACCATTTTTTCAGGAATATTTTTATATTTATGAGTCAACTTGTAGAAATTACGCGACTTTCTTGTTTTTTCGTGTGTGTTAGCCCATGGATCTAGTGCCTCAGAGCACCCCAAACTTTTTCAAGAAAAACTTTATAAAGACCTCCGTAATGAGTTGGGGAAGTATTACGTACAGTCCTACCATTTTTAGGCATATTTTCACATTTACAAGCCAACTTTTAGAAATTACGCGACTTTCTTTGTTTTTCGTGTATATAAGCCCATGGATCTGGCGCTACCGAACACCAAAAAAAAAAAATTCTGAAAAAACTTTACGAGGACCTCCGTAATGAATGGAGGAAGCATTCTGTATAGTCCCACCATTTTTTCAGGCATATTTTCGCATTTACAAGCCAAATTTTAGAAATTACGCGACTTTTTAAGTTTTTTATGTGTATTAGACCATGGATCTGACGCCTCGAAGCACCCAAAAAAAATCTAAAAAAACTTTGTGAGAACCTCTGCAATGAGTTGGGAAGCATTACATACAATCTCACCATATTTTTCTGGCATATTTTCACAATTATGAGTAAACATTTAGGAATTACACGACTTTCTTGATTTTTTGCATGTATTAGCCCATGGATCTACGCCTCGAAGCACCCAAAAAAAATCTGAATTAAACTATGAGGACCTCTGTAATGAGTTAGGAAAGCATTACGTACAGTCCATCGTTTTTCAAGCATATTTTCACATTTACAAGCCCACTTTTAGGAATTACGCAACTTTCTTGGTTTTATGTGTATATTAGCCCATGGATCTGACATCTCGAAGCACCCAAAAATAATTTCTAAAAACTTTATCAGGACATCCATAATGAGCTGGGAAGCATTACGTACAGTCCCCATCATTTTTTCAGACATATTTTCACAATTACAAGCCAACTTTTAAAAATTACTCGATTTTCTTGATTTTTCATGTGCATTAGCCCATAAATCTAGCGCCTGAGCTGTCACGCCCCAAACTCAAGGGGCGCAACTGACTCCTAAAGCCAAAACTCAGGCCCGAGCCGACCCTGCTGAACCATTTGCTACTAGCGCATGGCAGTCACATGCAATTAAGAAAACAAGCAAGTATATCTCGGCTTAAAACTAAGCCCTCGGCCGACAAGGCCCCTGTCAACAGATCTACAAAAGAACCAGCTACTCCCAAGAGTTCATATAAAGAAATATCCAACTAGCACAGAAGTCCTGATTGGGCCGTCGAGGCCACCATGATATCTATACCAAAACTAAAAACAGGTAAATATCAGTACAATACATCAAACAGCTCACAAGCTTCAGCAAACCAACAACATAGGCCAGCATGGCCATAACGTAGCTATAAACCCCACACACTAGTCTGCAAGCCTCTAAGAGTAGTAAAGATTGGTGGGACAGGGCCCCAGCCTACCCATGAGAATATATACAACAAAAGGTAACAAACCTCCCAACTCTGGCAGCTCCGGAGGAAAGGGGCTGACCAATCGGATAAAAGTCAATCCTGCTGATATGGAGGTCTACTCGGTCATCTGTCAGGACCTGCATGCAAGAATGCAGCGCCCCCAAGGCAATGGGGCGTCAGTACAAAATAATGTACAGAGTATGAAAGGCAATAGACTATGATGAGGTATCCTGATATACTGGAATAATCTGATAAATAAATTAAGATAAGATAATTGTACTGACCTGCTTCTAAATCTAAATTTATCAAAAATAATAAAACAACAACCTAACCAAGCCCCCATAAGCTCGGTAGGTACAAACAGGACACAAGACCACCTACTTAGGCCCCCATAAGCCCGGAAGGTGTCAATCAGCCTGTATACCTCTATCAGTAGTCCCCTATCCCCGCAGGCAATCACATAGCCCTCTTAGGCTTCAACATATCTTATAGACAACTCATAGCCCTCTTAGGCAACAACATGGCCCTGTATGAAGCACATAACCTTTTTAGGCGTCAATATATATCCCTGTAGGCAACTCATAGCCCTTTTAGGCATCAATATAGCCCCGTAGGCAACTCATAGCCCTTTTAGGCATCCATATAGCCCTGTAGGCAAAACATAACCCTACTAGGCATATATCACATTCCTGCAGCTAACAACAATAGCCCAAAGGCAACAATAACAATCCAACAGCTAAAAGTGAGCAACTTAGTTATAGGCAACCTATACAAATAGCCTCTAAGTCGTGTCCAACATACGAATGTTACTACTGAATAAGAATCTCGATAAGAGAAGATTATACACACTCGAGCAGCCAACAATCAACAATAATAGCTATAAGTATAACAACGATAACAACTCAATTACATTGCTCCTAAGCTTTAAGGAAACATGCCATAGAAAGAGAATAGCCTTAACATACCTTTTTCGCTAAATTCACGTGGCCTAAAGACTTTAACTCATAACTCCCTCGATACTACAACAAGGTAGGACCATAATCAACACACAAAATAAAAGATACCATGACAATACAATAAAAGATATGTATTTCCGTCGCAAATTGCTATTTGCTGCGTATAAAAGCTAGAGTCGATGAAAGAAGGGTCTTACCTCGATCTTAGGTTCGTAATTCACCTCAAAACCTTCAAATATATTCAAACCCCTGCTGTCCCAACACTAAAATGTGATATGCTACGCAATCGATAAAACAAATTATACCACGATGTTGGGCCCAACGCGTAGAACAACTTTCGTCAAGGACTTACGTCGAGAAAATCTATATTTCACTTGATCCTAAAAATGGGTTTCTATGTTTTCTCTGTATATTTAACTTAAAATGAAGAAAAAACTCGAAGAAGAAGATATATACAACTTTCCACCGACCTAGGGCCCCACCTCACGTGCCTGCTTGCGCAGTCCCACGAAAATGCGAATATCTCTCTATTCTGAAGTCGTATGAATGAACGGTTTGATGCGTTGGAAACTAGACTCGTAGACCTTCGATTCGATAGTTTGTGGGCCCCATAACTCTTTATAGATTGGTAGAACACCTCCAAGACATTTGACCCAAATTTCAGAGAAATCTTTAAGAAGGAACTTACGATAACTTCCGCCAACTTTTATTTTGCCACTTACCTAACTTCAAAACTTGAGATGCAACACTTGAACACTTAAAATAGGACATACCACATCATTCTTAATTTATTACTCACCCTCCTTGTCTTTCCACGAAGATACGAGTTAATTTAGACCTTTTGAAAAGTCGGGGTGTTACATGAGCGTACAAAAAATTTATGCAAGTAAAGAACATATCTTTCTCGAATTCATCACAATATCGATTAATTAATATGATTTTCAAGTCGCTATATACTTTCTTATTTGTTCAAACAATATATACACAAAATTGTATTAGTTGCATGAGTGTTTTCAAAAACGTTTTTGGGGAGAGTCTCGGGGCGGTGCGTACCAAAAATGTTTTGGGGCACAAATTGAAGACGTAGATCCATAGGACGTACGCCCTAGAATTTGGGCCGTAAGCTCAAAGCATAAAAGTGTAAGTCCTGGGCGTAAAAATCTACGCCTTGGGAGTTTTTGTTTTACCCTTTTTTTGCTATAAATCATATTTTTTATTATTGGTGTAACGATATTTCTCAAATAGTAAATGTTATACTTTATTTTCTTCATTATTAATATAGGTTATTAATACCTTTCTCAAATAAAAATTATAATAATTTTTCTATATATTATAAGTTATTTATTAAAATTTATTTGTAAAATAATTGAAAGTTTTATTTTTACTTAACTTCTTAGTAATTAAATTATAAAATTTAATACACATGAGACTATGCCCCCTAAATTCATAAGACTACGCCTGTGTCTCGCCTCACGCCATCGCCTTTTAAAACACTGATTGCATGCATACTCAAGGGCCAGAGGAGGCCAGCCTCATGATGCATGAGGAGTGGGGTTTACTATCCTCAGGTCTTAAATGAGCAGAAAATTTCTAGCTCGGCCTCACCCATTCAACGGTTTGGGATTGGGTTGGGCTGGTCTTATGGATCAAGCCCATTTTGACGGTTATACACATTATTAGTTGACTTCAAGAAGAAAAGAAAAATTCTATAAAAGTTTAAAGAAAATAAAAATCGTGGGATTAAGGATGGAATTATAGAGTTTAAAGAATGATTTTAAGAATTATGATCAAAATAAGTTGAAGCTATTTCGAAAAGAATTAGGGCAATCGTATAAGGATGAAAACAATCTACTAAAGCAAAATTTTAGAATTTCATGGTTTCAGAATGAAGATAAAAATATTTTTTTCATATGAAAACCATCTAAAGACGTAATTGTTCAAGTTTAATGTTAGAACATTGTTTTATAGGTGTTTGATGTCAAAGTGGCCAGAACAAAAAATTTGAGAAAGTATTTCGATTTGGACACTTTACAAGTCGCGTAGATTTGAAACACGGTCATGAATTATAGAGTAGAAAAAATTAAAGATCGAAACCTGAAGGATTTTCGAGGTTGACCTAGTTAGGTCAATCCCCATTTCCTCATGGGTGATCACTCCCTCTTTATCTAGAAATTCAATATAGTTTGAAGCGTTCGATGATTTTAGAGTCAGCATGTACTCAATACTAAATGATTATAAAATGTAAATTGATCATATTATAATATTTTTCTGCATTAATGATGAATATATTAAAGGAATCAACATTATAAAGGAATCAAAATAAGAGAAGTTGGAGTGATTAGTATATAGATCATAAAAAAACTAAATTTAATGTTATTTGAGCTTATCCATTATTTAGCGTTTCAATTCTCCTTATAAGTTGTTAGCTTTTAGAAAATTTGTCTGTCAACCGTCAGCGTCCTAAAATTAACTTTCATTAATATAATTATCTGTAAATATAACTATATACTATTATATGTTTAATTGTGAACGCAATAAAACAATTCAATATGTACTTTTGGACATATGGTAAAGAAAAAAACTAGGAAAAATCAATTTTGTAGTTCCCGCTAATCATAAATGGATTAACAATGATTAAAATATATAATTAACTTTAATTCTATATGGAGTCAGTCCTTATGTGGACATGCATTAAAAATTTATACAAATACTCACACCTAAATAGGAAAAAATAAATAAGATAAAAATCATCCTTCTCAGGGCAAAAAAGGCAAAAAGATTAAAGTAAAATTCCAACATTATAGGAAAAACATTTAAATTAGTAAAAATTCACACATTATAAATATAAACATTCTACCCTAATGCTTTGTCAATCATCTTCATATTAATCCTCAAGAGAGTTCTTAAATCTTAATTAATCAATCATGCAATCAATTAACATCTTGTTATCTGTCTTTGCATCTCTGGCCTTACGCTATGGTACGTACTCTTTACTTCTTAAACTCGTTAATATATAACTTTGTTATTTAAGCACATGTTTAATTATATTGACATTTTTTTATTTGGTAAAAAAAGGTGTTGAAGGAATTGGAGTGAACTATGGATTTCTGGGTAACAATCTACCACCACCAGCACAAGTGATCAGTTTCTTGAAATCCAAAAATATACAAAAAATCCGAATTTTTGACCCGAACCCGGACGTGTTAAAAGCACTAGAGAATTCTGCCATTTCAGTAATTCTTGGTACTCGAAATGAAGATTTACAAGCACTTGCAAGTGATCCAACTTTTGCAACAAATTGGGTACAAAATAACGTTATTCCATATGCTTCTCTTCTTGATTTTACACACATTTCAGTAGGTAATGAAGTGATCCCAGGTCCATTAGCAAGTTTTGTATTAGGAGCCATGCAAAATCTGGACTCAGCAATTAGAGCCTCTGGTTATTACATACCTGTTACAACAACAATATCGTTACAAGTTTTAGCAACCTCGTATCCTCCTTCAAATGGTGCGTTCTCCGAGGAGGCAGTTCAATTTCTGCAGCCCATTGCACAATTTTTAGCCGCAAAATATTATCCGTTACTGGCTAATGTCTATCCTTATTTTGCTTATTCTGGAAATTCTGCTCAAATTCAATTAGACTACGCACTTTTTCTAAATACGGCTCCAATTGTAACTGACGGGGCTTTGCAATACAAAAACTTGTTTGATGCAATGGTGGATTCTCTGTATGCTGCATTGGAGAAAGTTGGAGAAACTACGGTGGAAGTTGTGGTTGCGGAAACAGGATGGCCGAGTGTTGGCGATGTTTATGCAACTATTGGGAATGCTCAAACATATGTGAATAATTTGATTTCACATGTTTCATCTGGACAGGGAACTCCTAGGAGGCCTGGAAAAGCTTTGGAGACGTATATTTTTGCTCTCTTTAACGAGAATCAAAAGTCTGCTGGTGTAGAAGAAAATTTTGGTTAATTTTATCCTGATATGAATGAGGTTTACCATGTCAACTTAATACCGTAGAATAATTAAAGTGTGTATATATAGCATTTCGAACATATTTTATTTGAGCTTCCTAATTATGATTTTTACCTCATGCTTTGATACCTCTTCTTGGCCATGATATTTGATCCATTGAGAAGAAATTTTGATCCACAAATGATTGTCAAGGAGAGAGAAAAAGAAGAAGAAACTTTAGCTAAGAATTCTACTTTTGATCTTCCATATATTAGCTTTGATTAGGATGTAAATTGTTTGATTCAGTCGATTATTTCAAAAGAAGTATAATTTTATATTTTTTTTTGAGTATGACGATTAGAATTTAACTTTTTGAAATCATCATAATCCATTGTTAAAAAACTTGAAATTAGCTATGAAATTTATAAATAACTTTTAGCTGATCTGTAGGGAATTATCTCTTATTACCTAATTGTATTTTCATATAATTTGTCCTTAGCTAATCTATAGCTAAATAGAATTATCATGAATTTTTTATTATTTAGCTATGAAATTTTGTTCATTCCTAATTGCTTGTTTGTTTTTTTAAGATCATTCAGTTTTTTCTTTTCGATTTTCATTCGATTTGGTTAATGTCGTTACATTATTTTTTTAAAGGTAAAAATAAATAAATGATATTAATTTCTAGTACTCAAAAGGGAGAATCTTGACATTCCACTTTAAGTTTTCTATGTATACTACCAGAGTAGTAGATGATTTATGAGGATATGAGGGTAATCACATCACTTCATTGGTACTATAGGTCTTTTCATATGTTTTCCCGTAAAGAAATGAAATATTTTTCACTTCTTGGACATAACTCAATGAATAATTATCCGTTTTAAGTTCACTATTATTGTCTGAGGCGGAGCTAGGTGGGGTTCATGGATTGGACGACGAACTCAATAGCTTTTCCGTAGAACTTATATTTGTATTAGAAAATTAATTAAATATATGTATATTAATTTGTGAATTCCTAACAAAATTGATTGACCGTTATTAACAAAATTTATAGAACTCCCAAACTCTTAATCTTGGCTTCGCCTCTGATTATTGGTTCTTGCTTTTCTGATAACGTTGTTGGATAACCATACCTGAGAACAAGCCTAATCTATTTAATTGCTTTCATATCGTCAATTGTTTCATTGTTATTTGTTTCCTATCATTATCGTTAATCATGTTTAATAAGCAATCTTATGAATTAGTAGGTCATCTCAAACTGCGTATATTTGAACCACATTAGCAAATTAAATTATACCGACTTAAGAGTAATTATCAACCTAGAACTTACAAGCACTTGCTTCTTGTTAGAAAAAATATTTTTTCATACGGAAAAGGGACAAATATACCCCCGAACTATTGTAGATGGTATGTAGATACCCTCCGTCATACTTTTAGGACATTGGTGCCCCTGCCGTCTAAAAACTAGAGCATATATGCCCTTCACTTTAACGGAAGACTAAATAGGGACACGTGGCGCAATCTTATCCGTTGATCCGATATTTAATAAATGTCGGATCAGTGGATAAGATTATGACTCATGTATCATACCATTTATGATAGTTCGAGAGTATATTTGTCATTTTTCCCTTTTTTCTTATGAATAATAGAATTTAGGTTAAAGCTTGTCAAGAATATTGTACGTCCTTAAGGATAATCTACCCATAAAGTAGATATTATTATTAGGCATATCCCTAGCATTCAAAAAGTTCTTTTAATAATTGTGTATTTTGATACTCCAAGTTGGAGTTTTAAAAGAAAAAAGTACTCGGAAGACTAGTTGTGTGTTTTGATATGAACTTCACTTAGAAAAAAAAGTTTCGAATTTTGTAAGTGCAAACTTGAAATAAACTCCTCAAACTTGCTTTACAATCTTTAGGTAGTCGTTTCTACACGAATTAATTATTTGAACAAAAAAAATAATAAAATTTGATATTGAGTAAAACAAAGGTATTTAGAAGTTAAGATTGTGTGTTAATTTGGACATAAAACAAAATTAAACTTTTGAGAGTAAATTTTTTTTAATTTTATTTTTATCTCAAACCTATTTTTTGAACTTCAAAATTTATATTTCTAGTTTGAAGTTGAAATAATTGACTACATTATAAAAAAATCACTTATTTGAAATAAATTGCAGCTACTTTTTCAAATATTTGATGCAAAAGTTATGAACAAAATATTAGACTCCCAATAAGATATAGGTTAGGATTCTCTTCTCAATTAGTGAAAAAGGAAAAAGAATATGTTACATTTTTCAATTTATAATAATTGGTTTTTTAAAATTTTATCCTTGATAAGATTATATGTATTCGAATAAATATTTATAGCCAATATTGTTTGATCAATTTTTTTAAAAAAAAAAATTGTGCCCAATTAAATATCATCACTTAAATTGAAATGGAGCAATTAACTTTGTATAAGTCTCATTAAGTAAAGTACTTTTCTAGGCTAGTATGTTTAGTATGAAGGAAATTTTTTTCATGAAAAATAAGTTAGTTTTTAACTTACTTTTTCATGTTTGGTTGATGAGTGGAATCTGACATTAAACTGGACCCAACTCTAATCCCAACACCGAACTTGGACACAACTACAATAATTGACCTGGAATCCAATCGCGACAACCAACCCAAGTACGACTCCCGACCTGAGACCAAATATTTGAAATAGACTCAAATTTGACCCCGATATCAACATCCGACCACGTGACTAATCCAAATGTCAATCCCAACACCCGACTCTGCTGACCCCAACCCTCCAAATCAAGACTCAATTGTTTCGAGCCAGGACCTGACCCCAACACCCGACTTAGACCTTAAACCTAACTTCCAAACTGGAGGCGACTATGAGACCCGACTTCCGAACTTAGATTTGATCCCGACACCTGACTTCTGAATCGAAATTTGACTCTGGCACCCGACAGTCAACCTCTATACCTGAATCGAGATCTGACCCTGACATCTGACACCAGACTCTAAGACCTAATCTAGGATCTGACTTTCGAACTAGAATTTGATCCTAACACTTGATTCGAGATTCGACATCCGAATGAGTATCCAACCCCAACACCCTACTTCTACACCCAACCTCGACTTGAAATTTGAACCCGACACTTGATTTGGGATCAGATTTCAACTTTAAACTCAAAATCTGACTCTGACACTCGACACAGAATTCCATTCTGACACCTAACTCGGGACCCGACAACCGACTCGGGATCCAACCTCGAATTTAGACATGGAACCCGACTTCCAAATCGGGATCAAACTCTGATCTGATCTAAGAAATGGGTCTCGAATTGAGGACGAAAGTTTGGTCCTGAATTGAGAATCAAAAGTCAAATTTAGGATTAGTATTGGAAAGCGGTATCCAAGACTTGAGTTAGGATGAAAAGTTGAGGTGTAAGGTTGAAAAAGAATTTTAGAAAATATTATCATCACTTTTTAGAGATATGTCATTTTCTTTAAATTTGAGGAAAATAAGTAATTTGCAAAACATTTTCTAAAGTATTTAAGTCAATCAAACATGAGAGAATTGAAAAACATTCTCTAAAAAATAATATTTTCCTTCCTATAAAACATATATGTCAAACGCATAGACACAGCTGCCAGAATGACGGTGTTAATGAATACAAAATGAAATTTTTAATGGAGGAAAGATTCTATTGTTTTAGATGGTCTGAGAGAAAGTGTATTAGACTTCCGCTTCGCTTTATAATGACTTTGATTGTGTTGAAATGTTTTAAAAATCTCGTAATTTCTATTATCTTATATTATGAAGGGTAAGTTGCTTGTATGAGGCCTCTCAGGGTCTAGTACGCCTTGTTACTTCTAGGGGTACACTTGGGGTCGTGACAGAAACAGAGCAATTAACTTTGTATAAGTCTCATCAAGTAAAGTCCTTTTCTAGGCTAATGTGTTTAGTATGAAGGGAATTATTTTCATGAAAAATATATTCTTGAAAATAAGTTGATTTTTAACTTACTTTTTCATGTTTGGTTGATGAGTGGAATCTGACATTAAACTGGACCAAACTCCAATCCCAACACCGAATTTGGACACAACTACAATAATTGATTTGGAATCCAATCGCGACAGCCAACCCAAGATTTGACTACAACTCCCGATCTGAGACCAAATATTTGAATTAGACTCGAATTTGACCCCGATAACAATAGGGGACCCCGTGACTAATCCAGAACCCAATCCCAACACCCAACTCTGGACCCGATCGACCCCAACCCTCCAAATCGGGACTCAATTGTTTCGAGCCAGGACCCGACCCTAACACCCAACTCAGACCTAAGAACTACTTCCAAACTGGAGGAGACCATGAGACCCGACTTCCAAACTTGGACTTGATCCCGACACCTGACTTCTGAATCGGAATTTGACTCTGGCACCCGACAGTCGACCTCTATACCTGAATCGAGATCTGACCCTGACATCTGACACCAGACTCTAAGACCTGATCTGCGATCCGACTATCGAACCATAATCTGATCCTAACACTTGATTCGAGATTCAACATCCGAATGAGTATCCAACCCTAACACCCTACTTCTACACCCGACCCCGACTTGAAATTTGAAGCCAACACTTGATTTGGGATTCGATTTCAACTTTCAACTTAAAATCTGACTCGGACACTCGACACAGAATTTCATTCTGACACCTAACTCGGGACCCGACAACCGACTCAGGATCCACCCTTAAATTTTGACATGGAACCCGACATCCAAATTAGGATCTAACTTCGATCTGATCTGAGAATTGGGTCTCGAATTAAGGTCGAAAGTTAGGTCCTGAATTGAGAATCAAAAGTCAAATTTAGGATTTGTATTGGGAATCGGTATCCAAGACTCGAGTTGGGATGAAAAGTTGAGGTGTAAGGTTGAAAAAGAGTTTTAGAAAATATTATCATCACTTTTTAGAGATAAGTCATTTTCCTTAAACTTGAGGAAAATAAGTAATTTGAAAAAC